ACCAAAATAATGTTCATAGGCTGTCTTAACGATAGGTGTCATTTTACGTTTCTGAGCCTTAAATGTTATTTCACCACATATATAGCAAAAGCTATCGACAGAATTCACACACTTTCGAGGCATTTCAGATCAGCACTTAAATTAATTTAAAAATCAACTTCACACGATAATTTCAATAGCAACCACGTGCGTACAATTGACAAACTCACATAGGTTATGTTTACTACTTAAGAACAGCTGATGAGAGGGGTGTTATGTAAACAAACATGTGTACCAACTGTTGGTGATGAAATATTTCATTTGTTGAAAACTCAATATACATATATATAATATAATGATACTATATCTTGAAAACAAGAGCTAATATATAATTTTTATGGTCACTTTCGGTTTTAACACGTGGAAATACATTAAAATCATCTAATTTCAACCCCGAAACAAAAACTTTGTTGTGTTGTGATTAAAAAAATACTCAGCTAGAATAATTCAAATAGTTAAAATAAATGAAACCTCCGTATATGGAGTTCCTCGAAGTTCTGTGTTGGGTCCAATACTAGTTAATTATCTATTCTATACCATTTGAAATCTGAAGATGATACAGTTATTAGATAAACTGTGGAAACTTGGGAAAATTTGAAACAAAATTTAGAAGAAGAAGAAGTAGAAGAATCATACGCTTAATTCAGGAAAGTTGTTGAAAAGTGGATGATATAATGAATTTTTAATAACCAAACCTGTTTTCCAAAAACTAGTTATTTGAAAATATCAAATTTGAAAATATTAAATTATCCTTTCCACAAGTTATTCACTTTGTAGGGTTGTATTTGTTTATTTGCCTTTCTTTTACATTGTCATTATATTTTTCTGGCAAATAAACTCTAATATTATTATCATTTCAAGGTCACGACGAGTCTGACATCTCTATTTAGAGACCTACAGAAAAGCCGTTTAAAATTGTATAATTTTCAATTTTTCCACTCGCCTATTTTGTTAATTCAAATTTTTATTTCTTTCAAAATATTTTGTTTACTAGAAAAAAACGTATTAAGCATAAATAGTATTTTACAGTAAAGTCTAATCAGAAACAGGTTCTCAGTACTATTGATTCCTCGCCATAGAACAAGGACTTCATCTCATTGGTTATTGAATTTTTGATAAACACTACTTTAACTACGATTTCCCGAAATTTTCCAGATGGCTCAAAGGTCAAGAGGATTGTCAAAGCACTGACATTCACTACCGCTCGCTTACAGGGGAAGGTAATTTCAACTGGAGGTTTATTTTTCCATTCGATTACATGGTGGCCGAACAAAAAATTGTGATATCGAGAAAAGAGTCCCTTTTCTCTTGGGATGAGACTGAATGTAAAATTCCTGCCAGATTAGAGTTGCAAGTTTGGGATGCAGATCATTTTTCGGCGGACGATTTCCTAGGTAAGTCTGAAAGAACTGAAATCGGTGTGTGAACAATATATTCCATACTAAGATAAATAACAAGGGGTACACAATACTGGTATATTAACACACACATTTATCCAATTGAATAACTTACTTTGCTCTTTTAGATGACTTGTAAGCCTTTTCACTGATGGCAGGTTAGTTTAAGAAACAAAAAAACAGAGTTATCTTTGAAAATGTAGTCTAGCGCAATGTCAAGGTCCCCTCAAGCTTAGAACTGATCTAGTTTAGATCAATTTTGTGCATCTCCTGGCGCAAATAGACTGGCCAGAGTGAAGGCACCAATTACGAACACGCCCTCTAACATATCGACAGAAGATTACATCCATGAATATCAAAGATGAACGAGGCACCCAAAGCCATAAACAATACCGTAATCATGCCCTAGCCACCGCATTCACCAGATTTGGCACCCTGCGACTTTATCCTATTCCCGAGATTAAAGAGACCCATGAAAGGATGGCGTTTTGCAACGATTAAGGATGAAAACCGAATCGCCGAGAGAGCTCAAGGAAAAGTTCGACGTCGTGTCTGACTGAGGAACTTGAGCAGGGCAATTACACTGAGTTGATGCTTTGTGACCTGTCAAAAGCGTTCGACTGCGTCTCACATGAAATTCTATTGGAAAAATTAAACTATTACGGAGTTAGAAGTATTCCGCTTCACTTAATAAGAAGCTATCTTCCTAGTCGTCAACAAGCAATGATGCTCAATGGTACCTTATCAAACTCTTAAACTATTAAGCATGGCGTTCCGCAAGGGTCTGTTTTGGGCCCGCTCTTATTTGTCGTTTATGTGAATGAGTTGTGCAAACATATGATACCTTTCAAATCGGTTCTCTTTGCGGACGACACCACTTTCATTCTGTCGGATAAAAATAATGATGTTACAGTCTCATCTCGACGAGGTATCTAATAGTGCTAATCAATGGTTTCTATCTAATAAGCTGAAACTAAATTGTCAGAAAACACAATACATCCAGATTTCTGCCAATAATCAAATTATCTCTAATTGTGAAACTAATAAAGTTAAATTACTGGGCATTACATTAGATAATAGACTCAACTGGTGTGCACATATTTCTCAACTGAAGTGAAAACTCTCGGGTTCACTATTTGTTCTTAGCCAATTGAAGTACTTCACTAGTCCAAATATATTAAAAACCTCATATTTTTCACTGTTTCACTGTCAAATTAGTTATGGTGTACATCTTTGGGGAAATTCATGCCATTCTATTCAAATATTTAGGATGCAAAAGAAGGCATTGAGAGTTCTGGCTAATATTGGATACAGGGATCACTGTCAAGAATATTTAAAAAAAAATCAGAATTATGCCATTGCCAACTTTATTTCTCTATTACGTTTTGATTGAAATCCATAAGAAGAAACCATCCTCAGCGAAACAATGTCCACGAACATAACACACGAAACGCTCACCACATTAGAATAAATCGATTTCGTCTTCACTTATCGCAAAAAAAATCCATAGATTACTCTCTGTACAATATTTTGCCCCAAGAGTTCAAAGAACTCAGTTTAAACACATACAAAAGAAAATTGAAAAATTGTTTGTTGAGGCATTGCTTCTATTCTGTTGATGACTTCAGAACACATTTTGTGGTAACATACAAGTCACTACTTCTTTTTGATTTTCAAAGTTTTTACATATGTGATTGTTGTGTAAATTTTAACTTGTGAATGTTATGTAAATTTTAACTTGTGAATTTTAAATGTAAAGCCAAACATGACTTGCCAGAAACATATTGTATTATGTAACGTAGTCAAATAAATATTATTATTATTATCAAAAAGTGCATGTCAAAACTGTTTACAGGATTGGAAAAAACCCTGGCACAAGTTTATTATATCTGAGGGAGATTATTTTGAAGGAGATAAAATAGAAGTTGACATATAAATAAATATTTTTTTGGAAAAATGAATATTCACCCTATTTTTTTAACAGAGTCGACTCGACTTCAAACTGTCTTCAAACTGTCTTCAAAAGACAAGCCCGAGCAAACAAAATAACAATTCAATTGCAAAATCGCCAAATTTAAACGAAAAAGGTTGATATCTGTTACCATTTCCTTGAGATCATCAATAATCCTTATAATAAATTATCATTACTTAAGAAAATGAACTAGATTGGGAATATCGAATCAAAAATGAATCCAAATAAATGATTCGAACCATTATTCAATTTTTTTCAATGTCAAATCAGCTCTTATAAAAATCCCTCATTTCATTTACATGTAAATTCATCTTCATAATCTTTAAAGACATAAAATTTGAAAAGCTTATTCCTTCGTCCAGACAATTAAAAAATTCTAATAATTTCCTTCCAGGAGCAATAACCTTGGACCTCAACAGATTTCCAAGAGGTGCAAAATCATCGAAATTATGTACATTGGAGATGCTCAAATCTGACGGCACAGTCCCTATGGTTAATATTTTCAAGCAGAAGAGAGTGAAAGGCTGGTGGCCTTTTTTTGTGAAAAAAGACAACGAAGAGATGGAACTGACTGGCAAAGTGGAAGCGGAAATTCACCTGCTGGGTAAAGAGGAAGCAGAGAAAGCTCCCGCTGGATACGGAAGAAACGAACCGGATCCACTGGACAAACCAAAGTATGAAAAATATCTCACTGTTACTGTTTGCTAAAACATAATTTTCAAAGGAATTCATCAAAGATTGTTTAGAGGTATCAACATTTTTGCTAATGTAAATTTTGGTGAAACTCTTACAGCAGACTCCATTTGCTTCTTCTGCAATTATAATCATGAAACTCAGGAGTATTTCCTAATAATGTATCTGTTTTTGTTTCAGCCGACCAGACTCATCCTTTATGTGGTTTATGAATCCCTTGAAATCAATCAGATATATCATCTGGCACAACTATAAGTGGACTATATTAAAACTCTTCATAATTACAGGTTTAGCAATAATTATTCTACTATTCTTCTACTCTATACCAGGTTATACTGTCAAAAAAATCATTGGAGCTTAAATCTGTAACTATCTGTGGTAATAATGTAAGGAAAATTTAACTAACATTTAAGAATTCGTTACAGATTCTGTTAAATTTTAATTATTGATGAAAATAGTTGGTAGAAAATCAACTGTGCCATATTTATCTTTCTCTATTTCTGCTTTAGTAAATCATTACTTATTGTTTCACCTTTGAATGAGAGAGGGGGTGAAAACTATTCGAACTGCCAAAGAGAGGTTAACAATCATCCAGAACGGTAAAACAAAATACAGTGTGTAACAACGAATACTTAACAGAGCCGTTTTTGAATATAAAAAGTAAGATATTTAAAAAAAGCTCGGACACGTCGATTTCTAAGTAAAGGGGGACACCTTTCAGACTAATCAGATTTTTTGTAGTACGCACCCCCTCGGAGGGGTGCGTCCGACGACCCTTATTTAGATAGCGAAAGTAGGTCGAGTGGCACCTTGTTTTAAAGGTCTTTCGAATACCTTCACATCTCTGTTGAAAGAAAATTTTTGTAACGATCAGTTTTCGAGATAATTTGAAGTCTTAAAGGTATTTTTATTGACTTCAACTCTTTTTAAAATAAATCAAATTGTTTTTAAGGTACAATTTACGTTCGAAACTTTCATAAAAAAAATAAATTTTTGCTTTTTATGACAACCTGCTAATACGTGTCCATTTGATTTCGTAAAAAAGTAAGAATCATTTGTTCATTACGAGGAGATTTTTCGGGGGATGGGGTTGGTTACCACCCTTACATTTTAGGCAACTTGAGTGGCACCTCCTTATGAAGGTTGCCTTTTGACGTGGATATTTTATGCTTCTGAGAAAAAAGTGAACCATACTAAAAACTTACCTACACAATGAATACAACCTGCTATAGCATTATATAGCAGTTAACAGACAGAACTGTAGATATTGGAGCAGAGAAAATCCTCAGTGGATGTGTGCGACTCACACTTAATATCCTAAAAAATTTAACGTTTGGGATGGTATCATCAACAATAAAATTATTGGCCCTTATTTTTTTGAGAACACTGTTAATGGTGAGGTTTATCTAGATTTTTTGATTAACTTTTCAGTGCCTACATAACAAATACATTTTCCTGGTGTTAATCATCCAAATGAGACAGATCGAACTATTTACTACCAACAAGACGGAGCTCCACCGCATTCTGCACGTACAGTTAGAAATTATTTAAACGAGGTTTTTCCCAATAGGTGGATTGGAAGAAGAGGAACAATCAAATGGCCGGCTAGACCCCCCGATTTGACTCTTCCCGGGTTATTCAAAATCTAAAGTATAATTTAATAGACCAAACAATATTGCTGATTTAAAAGTTAGGATAACGGAAGAAATTAACAAAATAACCCCCGAGGTCATACAAAATGTTGTACGAGAATTCCAAAATCGCCTCGGTTATTGTCAAGAAGTTAATGGTGGTCATTTCGAACATTTAATTTAATTTTGAAGTTCATTGAAAAATACATTCTAAATATTATGTGGCATTATAATCTTCATTCTACGTAAAGTTTTGTGATACCTAGAGACATTATCAAAATTTTACATCCTAAAAATCAATTTTCTCAGTTATGATTGCACCAAACTTAAAAAGAGGACTAAAATCCCTTTCCAACAAGATGCCACACGACCCCCTTTGCTATTTAAAATTTTCAAGGGGGTGCTTATAATTCAGAAGGGGTGCTGGAGAGGGATAATATTTTCATACTGTAAATTGTCAATTTAAGAATAAAAATCGACCTGTTTCAGGTTTTTTTCACATAGTACATAATAACGCAAAAAATGAATTTATTCCATACATATGGACGGCACTGTATACATAAAGTTTGGTTCCCGCTATTCTTTTTGGTATATATATTTTATATGAACAATATAAAGTTCGTTAAAGTATAGAACCGATGAATTAGGTGTGCAAAAAGAATATCTACATCAATGACTAAAAACGTCTTATCGTAATTTGAATAGTTTTTTTTTTATTTTAAAATTAAAGACATTAAAAAATGTTTTACGCCTCTTTAAAGGTCTAGTAAAATTACGAGAAAATTCAAATTATCCTTCGTCAACTTCTTTGCTTTTTTCATTTAATTCTCATCATTATTCATCATTAAAGTAACTAGGCATGGATGAATAAAAAATATAAATCAAAAATTTCTATCAAAATATTTTTCTTTCTATGTTTTTCACCACTTTTATTCGTAACTAACGTTACTTATACTTATAAGTTTGAAAATGTCCGTATAGGACGAAACTGCACTAACGTTAGTTACAAATAAAAGTGGTAAAAAACATAGAAATTTTCATTTCTCTTTTCATTATGATTTCCTACCACATAGTAACGGCTACATCCATAAATTTATTAAAATATTTTCCATTAACTGTGTGCAGTTCTAAACTATAAATGTTACTTAAACCTTTTCAATTAATTCTTAAGAATCGTGGGCAAGCATAATAATTGAGAAGAACACATTAATTCTCTAGTAATGCATAAGGCAAATACATTTGCAGAACCATCAAATTCGTGATACTTTTAGTATGTAAAATATTTGTTCCAAATAAACATCACTCTTTCAATTGCCATAGAAAGTGTGAAAAAATAATATACCAATCTGATTGTTAACTATTCTGAGTGTTTATATTTTACAAATCATGTAAAAACTGATTCTCGTACATAAAATTTTAAGTGTATAGAATTAAGGCATACTGAAAAAATATATTTTACAATAAAATATCAAAAAGTGTGATCAAAAGATAGGTATTATGGAAAAAATGCTGAAATAGCATTTCATTGCTTTGCAAATATCAATTAGAGAATTATAATTTTCCCAATATACCTATCAAAAATTACCGATATTATCACAGTTGTAATGAATTATTGCGGTGATGTTAAAATTATTAATAAATAATTATTACTTTTTCTGGTGAAGATTTTTCTACCTAGTAATCATCCTCACGAGATACAAGATACGGACAATTAGTCTACATATAAATTTGGAAGCGAAAGTTTTTGTTGCTAAAGCCTTGACAAAAAAATTGATGCAATCACTAATTGTCCATACCTTTAAAATCCACTCTCTGCACCAATCTTCTATCTCTCCACTGTCAGCTCCAATTGTTTCTTCATGGAAAAGTAATAATGTACTGGACTCTCAATTGTAACATTCCTCTCGACAACTTTTCCAGTAATTTTTCTGAGTACTGCATCAGAAAACAGTTTACAGGATAGGCTAGGTTCTTCATTTCTCTTGTGAATCATAACTTCTACCTCATCTGGATTGCTGGGCAACAGTGATTTTAAAACTTTTCTCAAATTAGAATCGTCAAAATGCCGGAACGGACAGCCACCCTCTTCTACGGGCCCCAAATTTTTATTCTAAAAGCAAATAATTATACTTGATGAAAATTCGTAACATATTCAAGGAAAAGTTTATTGTGAGATTTTCACTAAACATATGTTTCGCTATACGACAGCTTCTTCAGGTGTATCTAAGACAGTTTGTGTGTGAACACATCTTTGTAAAGGGTTTATTTTAAATTATTTGCTTTCTTCGTTTCTTTGGAAGACTCCCACATTTTTCTGTATAAAGGTTTCCCAATTTTTCTTCACAGTTGGATTTGGCAACCGAAACTATTGGGAGAGGTGAATGTTTTGAATTTCAATTGAAATTCAATATTGAATCTCGTAGTAATACTTCACAAGGGGTCTCAGTTTTTAGAATGAAGGACTATTTTATATGACCAGTGGATGTTTTCCTGAGTGGGTTAAATCAATAAATGTCACGAGAAATGCCCCTTTTTTGGTAACTTTATGCAAATATATGATTAATTGTAATAAACTGTTCTTTTTTTCTCAAATTGGGTTTGTTAAATAGAGTTGATCACCTGTATATATCTGCATGAGCGCGACTGATAATTTCTTCTAGATCCTTCGAGACCATACAGATGTCTAATTCCATAAATATAACGCTTTTCATTCTTTTGCCAGTTATGTGTACATCTGGAACAGGATGTGTGTTCTTTAGAGTAGAGCGTCTCCCAAAATTTCAAGGAATCTGACAAAGATACTCCTATTCCTTTCATGTAGAGACTGAAGTCAAACCTAAAATTTGAAGGCATATTAAATTCAGCACTTCCTAAATATGTACTCTGGTTTGTGATAGATGAATAATGTGCATTTTTTTACTTCTTATATGATATGCCCTTCACCCCTCAATGGTAAACATTCTGTTTTAAAGATACTCCTATTCCTATCTACTCACCTCTCATTATGGGGCAACCTATTAGTTTTATCTAATATTTTGTACAAATGCAACATACATAAAGGAAAAATCTCTGTTTCTTCCTTGATTTGTGACATATTAAATGTTCTACTTTTTTCTCCCATCTGTTGAAAATATTTCACATTAGATAAATGGAGTTCCTTGAAAATATCTTGTATCCTGTTATCTGATAGAGCTTTATCAACACATTGACTGAAGTTCATTTCTTTCAAAACAGCTTTAAGGTAAGTATCGAAAAGAGTTAATAAAATGATTCTCCAAATACTGCAAGGGATTTCAGCAAACCCTCCATTCAGATTCACTTCTCTATTCTGGATTAGGGCAGAGCAATGTTGAAATGGTACTAAAACACATCATATATTAATTTATTTGCAGTTCATTCAAATCAATATTCACCTCTCAAAATGTATTGCTCACATGTCACCTTATGTTCATAACTGAAAATGTGGCTTAAAAACTCCTTGTTCAACATAGATGAAGAAAGGTTTACCAAAACTACATGCAGCTCATTCAACAATTGACTATTGCAATTCTTCAGATTGTCCAGTGAATGTTTCAGCAATCTCTTTAGAAAATGTTTGATGTCATGTATATCATAGGAGTCTAATCGAATTTCTAGCAACTTTCGTTCATTTTCAAGAAATATGTGTCGAAAAATTTTGTGACGGTATGCAAAAAGCCTCAATAAAAAATGTCCCGCCCTGTCTAAGGCACTGTCTTCCACCAAAAATTCAAAATCATTCAAATTCAATTTTAGATCATCCTTGGGGCTACTACAAATATTTTCATAGAAAATGAGCCGACGCTTCACACACTCCTCTAACTGATGCAAATTCAATAATCCCCTTGGTGGTTTTAGATAAAAAGTCATTTGAAAATATACTTCTCAAAATGAAAATTTGAATAGAAACAAATTCAAAAATTGAGGTTAAAATTCAAACAGATTCTCCAATGTTGCCAAATGTGCCTAAAGTTGTAAGTGCTCCATGGTGTTCTACCGCAGGTGTTCTATTCGGAACTCTGTGGTTTCACTTTTTACAAGGTATTCTCTCAGGTGTTCAATCCAGTGAAGATGATACTAGACTTCACGTGACCGTAAAATAAAAAAGTTTTGAGCTTTTGTTGATATAAAGACCAGTTGGATGTATTTGGCCCCAAGTTCAGTGGCCTCAAGGTCTAAAATACAGACTGAACTGAATCACAGAACTCACTATTATATAGGTTCTGTATAAATTGAAATGTAGTCTGCAGCTTCCATCTGAAAGAAACAGTGTAAGGCTCAATACTTCTTTATTCTAAAACTCTCAGAAAGAAAGGGGATAGTTTTTTTTCAATAATGTTTTGTTTCTGTGTGTTAAATAATCCTTTTCTTTCTTCGGAAGATTCCCAAATGTTTTGTATAGAGATGGCGAAGTAGAAAGCCAATAAGCTTTTTCCAAAAACCAATCTCTCATAAAAAATATTCCCTTTTCTCTGTATTACATCTAAGTATTTTCCCTGTACAACAAAATAAATCATTCACTGTTCTGGTCTGAAACTTGTTAGCTGTGTTGTGCCAACAATTTAAATGTGCCTCATTAGCTTTATTTTGGAGTTGGAAAATTTCCCGCAGATTCAAGTTGTTCTTCATCTCTAGTGATAGTTCCGTTGGGGCATCTAGTCAAGATAAGCACCAGAACACAGTAGCGTTCGGGTTTTTTCACTTACGAAATAGCTCTGGAAGAGTTCAAGATTTGAAGCTAGTGCGGATGAGTTCGGGAGCAGTTCTGAAATCATAACTGGAAACCCGAAAAAGCATTCGTGATTGAACACTAGATAGCGTTATTTTGACATGCCAAGTTGTCGTACTTACAGAATACTGTAGCTGTGTCAACTTTATAGTTACAGAATACTACATAATTACAGAATACTATATAGTTACAGACTACTACATAATTACAGAATACTATATAGTTACAGAATACTGCTCTCAAAGGACAAGCATGAGAGCGCAAAGTAAACAGTACTTACCCTGAACACTAGATGGCGAAAGCAGTACGATGTCAGCTTTTAATGTGAGGTAGCAATCGTTGACATCCAGTCGGCTTTTCAATTAAATTAAATTGTGGTGTACATCCCTACTTTTCTGCCGAGTGATAATCAGTAACTGCTAGCTACCCAATCTTAATTCTTGTTGACTCACATTAGATACTGAAATCGTACTGCTATCGCCCTCTAATGGTCAGGTTAAGTACTAAAAATTTTACGTGACACGAAAATGTCATTTCTGACTGAGCTTCTATGGGCTTTGTATTCTTTGATCCCATAGTAGATGGCGTCTTTGTAAAGGAAAATATCGCTCTTATTTAGAAATGGATTTCTTAAAAAATCACTACCGTGACAAAAAAGGCATATCATTGATGAGATAAAGTTTCTCAAATGTTCAAATGTGATGTATATGCACAAAGTTTTCCATCAAAGTGAAGAAACTACTTACATATATTATTAGTACTTTACTAATTGCTTATATCAATACACAAATATTCCTATTAATAGCATTTCAGTTAAATACACGATTTTTTTCGAGAACAGTATTTATAAAAAATATTCCATTAACCAAACTTTAAAATTAATGAAATGTTTCCGAATAAGTCCACGTATATTTCTTTCTTTTTCCATGACTGAATTTCATAATGGGTATTTTTACCTGCCCTTTTTTTAAATTATTCCATTTGGATATTCGATAAACTGCAGTGAAAAAATCAAATCTTTTATTTTATACATATATAGGACATATTCTCCAAAGGCAAATAAGATACTTAGGTAGGAACTAAATTAGAAGATATTTTGAAGAAGTTTCGCTTAGAATCTGCGATTTTATTAGAAATAGGTACAAATATTTATACTGAAGAATGTCCTAGCACCATTTGAGTATGAGCATGTTGATAGTTCAGCAAGTCACTCTATGCACTCTTTTATACAACATGATTGTCTAGGAAATCCATAGACATCTCGCTAATCTATGATAACAAACAAAACTTCTGTAGTTTTTTTCTGACGTGTTGAGAACTGCGCCCGTTGCCTCATCGCCTTTTATATTGTCTACCGCAGTTGTAGACGAAACTTAAGGAATTAAAAAATTGCAGACCACGTCCCACAGGATACGCCTCAAGGGCGTATCCTGAAGGGAGGTGATGAGGGTATTCATCCAATCAAGAAGAGAGACGAAACTGGAAAAAATCTCAGGCTTAGCTGGTTTTTCATCGTTACCATAGAAATGGTCACTTGGATGTCCTTGGATGCAGACCTCTTCACAATGATAAAAGTAGAAAGTTAAATTTCCTCTCATAAAAACTAGCTTTTTCACTTTTATTATCGATTTTTGGACTCGATATTTTATTTACGTAGTTCGAATTCGTAGTTTTGATCACTGTTTTAAGAAAGAATGAATTTATTTCTGTTCAATGTCTTTAGGTCTTACCATTTTTTTTGTTTATATATTCTTTATAAAATTAAAATCAGTAATGGAGAACTTGGAAAGGGCAAACTTCTAGTTCTTCTATATGTTCAATTAATATATTTTCCTCAAACAAAAAGTTCTGTGCATAAGTAACTTCTCGTATTTAATAATTTCGCACATCGAAAAGTTTCGAAAAGTTATTTTTCGCCGTCATCAGTCCGAAAAATCATTTGGCAATGATAGTTTTGATGAACGCACTGTTTGACATTGGTTTGCAAAATTTTGCTCCGGAGATTTTAGCCTCAATGAGCTTTGAACTACAGTAATCCAGGAAGAGGATTTGAGGACCCTGCTGGTGGAGATTAACCCATCACAAACGGTGCGTGCACTATTTTCTTATAGTACCTATTTAGGAGTACTAATGTATGAGTTACAACTCTAGATCTGTATTGAATACTCTTCTGACGGATCACTGAACATCGCTGATGAATTAATTTTACTGAACGTCAACAATAATTGGCAAAAAAGTTAGTGAATCCACCTACAGAGGGTGGCTTGAAAACATTAAATAGACGATAATTGCGTCTTTGAGACCAATTCATCTATTCTTCAAGATTACTCTTGAATTATTTCCCGATTTTCATGTATGGGAAGACTAGTTCCATCAAATATATTCTTAGAAGGAAAGTTATATAACAGGCTCATTGTTGAATCAAAATAAGGAATATTATTCATTGTTGGGTAGTTCGCATAAACAAATTAATATTTCATTAGCGGTTTTCTTTATGTTATTCTGGAAAGACCTGAATAGTATAAAGATGAACCATAATAAACATTATTCAATCAAATCACTCATACATAACCAGCAACCGACGTGTTACTTGAATAACAATTGAAAATTTTATGAATAAACAAAGTTCCCATTTTATTTGCCACCTTTACCTATCTTGTTTACGATCTTTAGACACACTAAGTATACTAATAATGTCCATTTTCTCAGTTTATTTGTTCCGTTCATTTGAATAGATGAATCATAAATTAGTAACAAGAAGCTATTTGGCATTCTATCCTACCGTTAATCCAAGACGATATAAATACGAAGCTGCTTCAATTTTTTTCGTAGTTTGTGCAAAATCGCCAGATAAGATGGGAAAGGTAAGAAAATTTATTGAAAATTTTTGTGAAAATGATTAAGCCTTCATTTCTTGATGTCATCAGATATACTTACATGCATTTCAAAACATCAAAATTTCCACTACTATCAGTAGACACGAAAACATAAAATATATCGCGTTGAGCTTTTCTCTTTTAATTTTACAATTATTTCTAAATGACAACAAATTGATTTATATGAAACTGTGAAAGACGAATTTTTTATAATCAAGGAGATGTTTTCAATCAATGTGTAATTGTAGTCACTTCTACCTCCAAACAGATAATTTAGTCTCAATTACCTCTTTATCATCAATGTTTCAAATATAAGTACTTGAATATTTTTATTGTTATTGAAGTTGTCTTTGGCGATATTATACTTCAGAAAATGAAAGTAGTAGGTAGGAAGAAGTAACAAACAGTTAGTTAAGGTCTGTAGAAGTCGCATAGTTTCGAATAAGTTGGAGGTATGCCTTATAGTTGAGTTGCAATACCTTTCAAAGTCATTTAAAATCCCCAAAAAGTGGTCATGTTCTCTGTAAGCGCATTCTCATTAAATATCTTATCACGTGTTTGAAGAAGATACAAATCGCTATGAATTCTTCAGCACTAAATTTTTGTCGTCTCTATTCTTTTCCACACACCGCTGAAAGTCTTGTTTTGTAGATTTATGTATCTAATAATGTATGTTTTTAGTGTAATTATAACGTAAATCAACATTCAAGTATTCTTTTTTCAGGTTTCAAGTTTTCTATTCGTTGCTTTCCTCGTGACAGGAGGATGTAGTTTTCCATTAGAAGACACGCCAAAAGAAACAAACAATAGTCCACATGCCTTACTGGGTCAGCACAAAATACGTTTAAGTGACGATAAGGTAATTTCCTTGTTTCCGAACTTTGAGCTGGTTGACTTTTTTTATTCATTTATTCTGAATTTTTCAGCCTCAGGAATCTACTTCTGAAGTAAATAGGCCAAAAAGAGATGAATCTCAGCAATCACATCCATCTCAACCGAAGTCAGATGAATCCGGTCAAACAGAGGTGAGTTGAAACAAATACATTATGTTACTTCATATATTTTGATCAAAGAAGTTGAAAAGCATTTTTTTCAAGTTTGGTTATCTGGATACAAAAATTGAAGAACAGAAAAAGTTCTTATATCGAGGATTGAGTTATTGGCAGTTTTTGTCTATCAAATGAGAGACAGAACTTGTCAGCCTGAGAAAACCATACTTCAATTTATTCAATGCATTGAAACAGCATGAATGTTTCATAAAAGTTATACACGATTCTGAATCCTAAGCGGTTTTCATGTGGCAGCTTTAATTTTACTAATAATGAAGTGAGGAAGTTTATAATATAACAATGCTGAGGCACATCTTTAATATAATTAGGAGTGTGTCAGAAGTACAAGTTTGATAATAACTCTGAAAAGCATTGCCCTTACTTTCCGCTCAGATTGGCGAGATTTTCATAACAAACTTTCTGGATAACTATAAAGATAGTAATGCTAATAAGTCAGTCGAACTATTAATAGTTAATTATTCATAGTTTACAAACATAATTTGGACAAGTAAAATATGAGAAGACATTTATTACACAACATTTATTTGTCAAAAAAGTTTCGCCACATATTATAAATATTTTCATTCTTTGGTAGCTGTGCGTGAGAAATGAAAGTGTCTTCTACTTAAAAGTTTCAAAAATGTATGTCGACATTAAACTTTAAGTTATTTTTCAAATGTCTGCCCTTTGAGCAATATTTGGAAGTGGATTGTTATGAATCTGTACATTTTCAGAACCAAGGACCCACACCAAAACCAGTCCATCACTACAGGGATGGTCCGATCATTCAAAGAAGAAGTGCTGACAGTTCTACTGACGAAAGCAGTAGAACTGATGATCAACAGGTGAGTTATAGGATCTCAAAATGACTGAAACTTATCTACAGTGTGCACTACCTAAACTTTGTAAATAAAATATTACTTTATAAATGAAATAATTAAAGTTTTCAATCACTTAGAGTTCTGAATGCCCCATTTGATATTATGATCTGCAAGTAGGTATACCTTTGATATTTTTTTAATGGCAAAATCATTTTTCTGAAGTGAACGACTTTAATAATTAGGTTTCATGTATGGATTTGATAATATTGTAGATAAAGCTCATTTGCATCTCAAACACTCGTATTGACTTTATTACGATATAATTTTTTGTCAAAATGGAGTTTTTCATTCAGTTATTTCTCAGGAATGAGAGGTTCAAAATGTATATTCTTAGCAAAATCTCGTTCATATATAAAACTTATTTCGGTTCCTTAATTCAAAAACTACCAAGCTGCCTAATCATCATTTATAAATCATTAAAAATAAACGTTTCTTCAATTACAGTACCATCAAAGTCCATTGCTGCTCCAAAGGAAAAATGTTGATGATAGTTCCAGAGACGTGAGTGGTTCGACTGAAAAAACCATCAACTCCGACGAGCAAAAGGTACATGATTTATGGATTTTGCAGTAAATGCCAACATTGTTTTCTATTTTTCTGCTATTCCAGCTCTATATTTGTTGGTACCTTGCGTAGTAACATAGGTATTAAAAACTTGTTTAGTGCTCCTCATGAACAACCCTCAGAAGACTTTGCGAGCTGAGGAAAACCAAGGATAGATTCTACTAAGAAATGTATACGAGGGTGACTCTTTAAGTCACCCAAAAAGTATAAAAACTTGTTTCCAAAACGACCTGTTGTATTTGCTTTCCAAAAGTTTCGCCTTCAACATTGATACATTAATTTTCACATGTGTGCAAATCAATCATCGAAACGGTTTTTCCACGATGGAGTGATCTCCAAAACATCATTTTGGTATAACAACTTGAGGTGGTGATTCGCTCTCCTTGATTTTTTTGACAAATAACAAAAAAGTTATTAGGCGATAAATTTGTAGAATACGAGCATTGAGTCCATTCGTGTTTTTCTCTTTCAACTAATCGATTGTTTGATGTGCTTTGTGGGAGCTGGTGTTGTCAAGATGAAAAACTACCTTGAATGAAGTTTCAGGTTGCTTTTTCTAATTTTGTCAAAAACCGTCTGTAAACAAATTGTTGAATAACTACTGTTCAACCCCAACTGTTTTTCTATCCTGTAGAGCAGCATTTCTCAACCTTTTTCAGTCCTCGTGCCCTAGAAAATCAATAGTGATTTGAAATCACTGTTGATAAAGCTACTGTGTTAGCGAAACAAGTCGTGATATACTTTCCATATAAAATTTGTGGAAATTGAATCGTGAGGTGTAGTTTATGAAAAAATATTTAATCTGATTCATTTTATGTTTTATTTGCAGGATTCTAAAACTCACAACCGTCAACGACGAAACACTGATGAAGAAAATGTCAACAAGGCTGAAAGACCAAGTCTCCAAAGTAGCAACCCGTCTTTATTAGCACGTAACCCTGTGTACCTTCCTGACTCTAAAAGCACGGGCAGAATTTCCACGTCACCAGTTCCAGATCTGATTCCTTCAAGTACATCAAATCTAAGATCTTCACCTCAAGAAGGAGTACAACACCACCCATCTGAAGCAACTAATGGAAACGTAAACACTCCACCTGCCCAAGTGAATAGCGACAATCTGCGAGAAAGAAAAACAAGAGGTCTGTCTAACAATCCTACACAAGCTTCAACCTCTCGTCCAGTTGGATTGCCTGTTGGACAAGAGAATCAAGCAGGAAAGTCAGAATATAGTTCTTACAATCAAGAACAAAAAGATGAATTCAAGAATCAACCACATGTGTTGGTTGCCCATCCATCAGAAGTTTCAGGTACGCAAAATCGGAAAGTACGAGATGTGAATGACAATCAACCACACCTTCTGGCATCTAATCCCAAATCCAGCTTGAATGAAAATGCGTCTCGATCAACGGCTGCTGTCTATTCATCCTCAACCACTGAGAATACTAAACTTGTCAGTTCTTATACACATTAGGAATAGTAAAAGATGTATTGAAAATACATTACATATTTAAGTATGTTCAAAAAATTATAATAAATGATGATTCGCCATTTCTGAGCTTGTTTTGTTTAAGACATCAATATTTTTGACTACATATTTTTATATGCACATTGTTCATTGGAAACTTCTGTTTTATTGGAAAAAAAACATCTACATGTAATGAAATCATGTGTGCTGAAATATAAACATGAAAACTGTGTTATTTTAATCTTCGTTTGCAGAATATTGATAAAGCTAAAGCTCCTTTCCTCAAAAGAAGTATTCCATGATCAAACTGAAAAGAGGATATGTTCAGATTAGTTTTTTAAAACAAAACAGCTTTTGGCTTTCTACTTCTTCATTAACAAACAAAAAAGTGAAGAAAAATTTTAAAAGAAGAAAGAAAATCACCATTATGATTATCACTATATGATTTATATACTATTTATGAAGATATAGAAGAGACTGGAAGAAAAAATCCTTTGGAAACCACTACAATCACATAAACATTAAATTACATCAAAACAACTTTTTCCCGTTCTGTTTTTACTCCAAAAATTCGTTATGGAGTTGATAATAGATATCGTTCATATAGAAACGTCACACAGCATAATATATGAAAGAGTATTGATGTACAATTTCACTTACACGTAACTCTACTATGCTCAATGGTGTACTCAGAAGTTTCGGGACAAAACACGTATCTTATCACCTCATCAGCACCATTTTGGATAACATTACCAGTCAAGGCACTCATTGCTTTCATAACATTACAACTTTGTCACTGTAAGGAAAAAATCATGCTCTTATCATAACGTTGAGTGTACACTAATCGAATGAATGTGTTTTTAAGAACAATAATTAATTATAGAGAACATTTAATGGCCCTGATTATTCAAAATTGTGATGTCTTCAGACTGTCAAGAGTCGAAACTTGTGTGAGCTGAGGATTAACGAGGTGTTGCCTTTTAATGTGCGATTTCCAGCACAGTTCCTACTTTAGAAAGTCTGGGAATTGCAAAATGTGGCATTAGAACTATAAACAGTGGTAAAAGTTCTATTTCAAACAGTTCATTGTTCACCATTATATAACGCGCTCTGTTAAAATTGGCCGGAACTTTCACGAGAAAATTTTCACCTAAAATCACTGAGATTTGTCTGAAAGTGTACCTTGTGAGATATAGAGACCAGTTTAAGAGTTTCTCCTGAAGACGTCAACTTAGTTGGTATTGTCGAGAAAAGAATTGTAGTTCTGATGTTTGGCAACAGTGATTTTGTTTTGAACATTTCAAATAAATATACTAATAAATTCATACATGAATTATTCCCCCTGAAAATAACCTCGCTTGCAAAATTCAAATCCGCCCTTGACTTCAACAATTATTAAGCAAACTTGAAGACAAGTTTATAGAAAATGATGAGCTTGGAATAAGTTGTGGAGATTGTAAAAAAAGCATATGTAAGTCAGACTAAAGTGGGCTATTGAAAAAATTGTTTCGAAGAACAAGCAGCACATAATAATAACAATTGTTATTATCCTGTAATAACGATGAGATTGGAACCTTTGGTGTGAAAGTTGAATAACTTTTTTCGAGATCAATTGCCCTAACAACAAAAAATGCTGAAAACAAAGTGCAAAAATATCAATTTGGAGTTAGGGCAATTGATCTCGAAAAAAAGTTATTCAATTATCCTGTAAGACAATCAAAAAGGTACATTGTGTAGGATTAGTCAGAAAAGAGCTTAAAAGTAAAAATAAGACAATTTACTAAGAGTAATACATTCATTGAATTTTTCATTTTATTATTCAATCATTTCCTGAAGGGAGTAATAGGTTTTTTCTAGTAGGAAAGACTTGAGTGCAATTTTGAAGCTGTGGATAGTACTAGAGTTTTTCAGTTCATGTGGTAGAAGATTAAATAATCTGAGCCCTATTACATTGGGGGAATTGTAAGTCAGTGCATTTTTACAATATGTCATATGAAAGTCTGTCTTGCACCTGGTATCAATAAAATGAACATTTTCATTTCTTATGAAACAGTTTCGGTTATCATATATAAAAACACATATTTCGAATATATACAGGCATGGCAATGTTGGTATTTCAAAATTTAAAAAAATGCTTTTACAGCTTGTATTTCTCGAGACTCCTGCTATACATCATATAATCTTTTTCTGGGCGGCAAAAACATCTTTGCATGAAGAGGAAACTCCCCAGAAAGTAATACTATACCGAAGATGCGATTCAACTTGAGCATGATACAGCATAATCAGCTGTTTCTGGTCTCAAATATTACGAAGGTTTCTCAGAAGATAATTCATGGAGTATAATTTTGATATAACTGTTCCACAATGATTTTTCCAGCTGAGAAATTCATCCACCTGAAAACACCTGTACACCTGAAAACTTCACCGTAGAGCACGGAGAAATTTCATCATTTTCAATTCTCAAGTTGAAACTGGCTATTTCTTTTTGTCTAGCATGAAATCTTATCAAACGTGTTTTTTGATTATTCATATGTAGGGAATTTTCCTTGAACCAGGTGTTTAATTTTTGCAGGATTAAGTTACCTTTAGTTTGTAGATTTTGATCTATTTTATCTGATATAACCAGTGATGTGTCATCTGCATATAGTGTAAAATGAGCATATGTAGAGATGGATTCCGTATTATTGACATATAATAAAAAAAAGTATAGGGCCCAACACTGATCCCTGTGGGACACCTACATTAATATCCACATAATTGGGTGTATATAACTTTCTCACATTATTATTATCATTGATAATACTGACATATTACTTCCGTGTTGAGACAAATGAATCGCAACGGTTGATGACTTTGAATAATGAAAACCATATTGGTTTTTGGATATATTGGATTGATTTCAGAGACCGGAAAAGTCTAATCTTGCCCAACACATCTTTGGCGAATAGTCATTGCATAAATGAACATTGTTCACAATTTTTAAAACTCTTACACCACAGACTTTTGGATATATTCGAAAAGGTGGAAATAACACACTTCGAGAAGAATGTTCTAGTTCTACCTTTCAATATTTGATATTGAAATATTTTGGTCAATTGGAAATAACAAACCTCAAACCAAGCTGGGTAACCAGAATATGGGGTGAAATAAAAACACCAAATACTTTAAATTAGCAAATTTATTTTTAAATAGATACAGTCTGTTATTTCCTAATTACGAAGCCTGTACAAAATGCAGCATAGATATAAATATAAGGTATATACAAAAAATATCAAAACAGCTACACAAGTACAAAAAATGCTAACTCTATTGACAGTGCAAGACTTGTGTCGTACACTCTCCAATCACAAAAAGAAAAAAGAGGTACTCTGACAGGAAGTACTTTAGAATTCAATTTTTATTGAGTATAACCACAAAATACGAATTTGATTTTCATACGTATAAACATGGCACAATTTTTACGCTTTTTTTCAAACTGAGCAGTATTTCAACTTGAAACTTAAGAAAAGTGTATTCTTCAAATTAGAATTGAACAGGAATCAGTTTTGCTTTGAATTTGAGAAAAAAAAAAGGGATTTGTAGCAAGTCTCCGAAAAATAGAAATCAGTTCAACAGGAATACAGAACGCCTGAAAACATTTCTACAAATAATCCACCTGCTCAAATTTGGCGGAGTATAAAACCTTTATTTCTACAACTATGAAGATGGTCGATATATTTTAAACAACCAAAAAATAACACTCATTGGCAGCTATATTCCCGAACAGTACTGTTTTTGCACAAATATTGAGTATATCGTTGTAATTAAATGTTTATAAACACACACTAATAAAGCATTTTTATATAAGAAATATCTGGTGTTTTCCAACAATTCATAAATTGTTCGTAATATAGTTGATTAATAGTCCCTAGGAGAACATGTTGTTTACAAATAACAGAAATTCTTTGAATAGAAACGATTTTTTTGATATTTAAATAAGAATAATTTAACCTTAAAATAAGATACGAAAAGGACAAAAACAATTATGTACATAAATAACAGAGATGAAGTGAAATCAATCAAGAAAACAATTACAATTCCGTACTTCAAATTTTAAAAATCTTTGGATTGTACAAAATTCTTATTTGATAATATCTCTACAGTATCAATTTTCGCTTAAATCTACTCATCATTCACACACATCCTCGAATCAAAACTTTATTACAAAAACAAGACTAGCATATTTTTTATGTACTAAACTGAACTTTTTCATTTCATAGCCTTTCAAGAAATTCTTGAAATTTCGACTATATATCTCCCACTAACTGATTCAGCTGTATACTTTGATTTGCTCCAAAGTCTTAACAAATTATCGAGAACAGGTCATAACTACGAGCATTATGAACCAAAATAATCACTTTGAGCTTCCAAATGAAGCTCATAAAAGGAACCAGGCCCATAAAGAGCATTCAATTCACCATTTTTAATATTTCTTATCCCCACTTCCTAAAGATAAGACTATAGTTTTGAGGTTTGTCTGATGTGACGTTGTGGAAGTTGGTGTTCCAACATGTCTTGTTCTGAAAAAGCGATTGATTATTCGATAGCACAGACTCAATTTTGAAGTAATATACGTCATGTGGACATTTTTTGATTTTTCGCTTAGCCTGACAGATAAAACTGGTAAAAGTTTGTTGGCAGCGGTCGTGTTAAATATTGTCTGAATTTTATATGGAAAGAGTGGAAGAGGATCAACAGACGAGAAACTGACAAAATGGTTTAGACTTTCACGGCTGAGGTTTTCAGTGTCATTGCTTTTCGAGTTTGAAAGCCGTGGATTTTTGGAATTTCTTCCTGACGTTTCGCTGGCGCGAACGGCTAGCTTCTTCAGAGGTTTAACCATCATGACTTGCTGTCCGATGACTACCTTTTAGGCTTCGTAAAGCGTGTTTATGCCTTGTCAGGTAATCACTTGAATTTGTACCTGTTCTCGTACCTGCACTTGAACCTGGAACATTAACAATCTTGCTGCCTGACTTGTCCGTTTGGCCTAGTCTGCAGTTCCTTTTATACTCCTTTAGTCTTGTTCCTGTGGATAGTTTGGTTGATATTGAGCAAGACCAACGGATAGCTTTCCTAGATGTACTAGTAGAACAATGTGGTACCAGACTAACCCACAAAGTGTATCGAAAAGCCACACACACAGATACATACTTGCACACACTATCGAACCACCATCCTGACCAAAAGAGAGGAGTCATCTCCAGTCTAACGGAACGGGCTCGGAGAATATGTGAACCAGAACATCTGGAGAGGGAACTGAAATACCTTGAAGTGACCTCGAGATCGTATGGATACAGTACCTCCGAGACCAGAAAAGCCATGAAACCGAAGGACACCATGGTTCAGAAAGCGAAAAAGGATCAGATGGTTGCACGCGCATATCTACCGTTGATCCCTAGGGTCACGGACAGAATTGGAAAACTATTGGATAAACACGACATCGAAACAGTCTTCAAACCCAAGAGGAAGATACAACAAAGCTTCAGGTCGGCTAAAGACAAAAAAGACCCATTACCAGCAGCAGGGGTCTATCGCATACTGTGCACGTGAGGAAAGGTATATATCGGAAACACCAAACGATCCATGGGAACAAGACTAAAGGAGCATAAAAGGAACTGCAGACTAGGCCAAACGGACAAGTCAGCTGTGGCAGAACACGCACTTAGTGAAGGAGACCACAGAAATTTGTTTGAAAACACAGAATTAATTGCCCCCAACCAGGGATATCACAGCTGACTGGTACGGGAGGCAATAGAGATCCACAAACACACGGAGAATTTTAACAAAAAAGAAGAAGCGGTGAACCTTAATCAAATATGGAACCTCATTTTAAGGAATTCGAGAATAACGAACAGGACAACAGGCAGCAAGATTGTTGATGTTCCAGGTTCAAGTGCAGGTACGAGAACAGGTACAAATACAAATGATTGCCTGACAAGGCATAAATACGCTTTACGAAGCCTAAAAGGTAGTCATCGGACAGCAAGCCATGATGGTTAAACCTCTGAAGAAGCTAGCCGTTCGCGCCAGCGAAACGTCAGGAAGAAATTTCAAGAATCCACGGCTTTCAAACTCGAAAAGCAATGACACTGAAGATGAGAAACTGTTTGATAATAAATTGCTTTACAGAATTTCATTTAGGCTGAATGTCAAAAATATGTTGTTGCGTATAAACTCTATGATTTTTAAAAGATCAGAAAAAATTTTATGTGTTCATTATTACTTCCACGAACTTTGATTGTCCATCGTAACTGACTTCATATAAAGGGAACGTGCGGGTAGATAATTTTTTTAGGAAAGGATAGTCATCTGCAGGGTGTACAAACTTCACCTGCCAAATATCAGATATTTTTTATCTACTTTGAATAGGTGTGTTAGTGAAATAAATTGAATATGAAGGAAAAATTATTAATTTTTCCTATAAATGTTCCTGCCATTGAAAAAAATTAGTAATTCCCTCTTCATATTTCAAATATGAAACATTTTAAGAAATGTCAGGAATTGAACTATTAAATTATTATTGGATGTTCAATAAAACTAGGGATATCTTGGCAGGCCAAAGAAAGTCTTGACTTTGTTATACACAAAATAATTCGGAAATGTTTGATACGAAATTTATGCCAAAGTACGCAAACCCCTCCTTCCTTACTTTTGTTCAATAAAAATTACAAGATAAATGTGCTGATTAATGATATTTTACAAGGACGAAAGCATAAACAAAGAATACAAAGCGCGTAGAAGCTCTTAAGTACGTTTTCAGTGTATCCTGAAATCAATAGTACCTACTCTGACCATCAGAGAGCTATGGCAGTAAGTTGTCAGTATTTGATGTGGTTACCAACAGAACTGGCTAGAGTTGCTGACAATCAGGCATTTAATTCAATTTTGGCGAACATTCTGACTTCGATATGATCCAGCCGACTAGTTGTCAGTGACCACTACTCGATGGGGAATGTTCCTCCTGACGAAAATCAACTAGTTTTCATAAAAGAGCTCTAAAACAACGCATTTTAAACTTATCATTTCAACCTTTTTCTTTAAAAAAAATATTTAAATACTTAAAAGAGAGGAATGAAATAATGCATTCAACATTTGAAGGGATTCGTTTCTATTTCACCATTTGGCAACATCGGTTATTACTAATAAAGGACAATGAATCTGTTACCTGTTTGAGGCAAACAAAGATGACATATTTCAGAGGCGTGCTGTTCTGTTTACTTATGTTCCGAGTTCCGAGACATTCTGTGACATATGACATTTTGTGCACTTAACCTATCTTCCTCTATATAAATAAATAACAAAACAACTGTTGTTTATGTGGCTTGTGGAGGTGGTATTGAACTACAATTTATATTTTGCCTTAATTGTTGATTTATAAAGATAATTTTCCTTTTTCAAAGTAGAATATCAAGGCCTAGGCACGTATAAAGTATTTCAACTTGATATAGGCGCTGTTGCCAATATGTGAATTAGAAACAAATCCCTTCAAAAATTAAAACCCAACATTTGAAACATCAATTTGAATACTTTTCGAAGTGAATTTGAAAAACTCATGAATTAAACTCAACTTTATTTTGTTCAAACTTGCATTTGCTGTAATAACCCAAATTGAGGAACATTCCCCATTCTGTTGGTAACCACATTAAATACCGACATCGTACTGCCATCTGTTGGTACTTGTGAGCTTCTATGGGCTTTGTATTTTTTGGCATAACATTTTATAGAATCCGTAATTTCCTCAGGTATGGAGTGACAGGGGCGAGCTAAAAATGTTTTATTGGGTATCACAACATACCATGACATAACAAAAAGATCTTTTTCATTTCAAGTGCCTACTTTTTCTAGTCTCACTGCACATTTCGATCCTCAATAATAGGAGAGAACATTCACATCATGAAAACCTCTGTGAATCACCAACAACTACAGCCCGTGTCAATTTTGATTTCATAACGAATCTCCAATCGACAAAAATTGACAAGTCATAAACGAAACATACAAAATGAAAACGAACAAACTACCACCTCAACGTACACTCGAACCTTTCTAAATGCACGACTTACCCTAAAAGTAAATTATTACAGGAAATGGTCCTAACAGTCGAATACACATGTATCAGAAGATAAATTGGAAAATGTCAAGAGTCCAGCCTATCTAAAAACCACATTCACAACGTCCCTGATAGTATTATTGACCTCGTTAACGCATCGTGCGTTCTCGGTGGAATTCCTAGAGCCCGCAGACCTGAGTTGTCGGGCCTGACTTTCCAACCTCGTCAGTAACTCTCTGAAGTGGAATTTCGTATGCGCCGGAACCACACTGTCGGCGTAATCCATGCAGGAACCGTGGAGCATACCTATTTTGTCAGATATCTGCAACCAAATTGCCGGTGAGGCGGCCCCGTTGGATTTGATGCTGTTCAATGTCGCCTCTAATGTCTGCGATATTTCTAAAATATTGTCTTTGCCACTTTTATCGCTCGGAGTCAACTTGGAATCCTCATCGGACGATTTGTTCTCTACACTGGTTGGTTTAGTCATTATGGGAGGTTTTGAGTTTGTGTTTGTAGCCATAGGAGTGGCGTAAATAGCAGAGCCGGCAGGTCGGCTCATTATCGGCTTCAGAGCTTTCACGGGAGGCTTCAGAGGTATGACGGGTTTTTCATCGGTTACAGGGGGCCAGCATTTCTTATCGCCTTTAACAGTCCGTTCTAATTTAACGGATTCATCAGAGGTTTCAACTGGCGAACCTTCCGTGACTTCCTCATTTCTGTTATTCTTGATTGACAACTTGGGACTTAGCTGGATATTTCCATAGCCATCCGAACTATCCTTTTGTTCCCATAACTTTTTCAAACTACTGATACTTCCCGTGCTCTTTCGCTTGTCATCTCCCTCGTCAATTTTCAGGTTCCCACTATCTGAACTTGCAGTACTTTCCCTCTTATTCACTTCCGTTTCGTTGTCTTCGTTTCTGTTATCATCAGTTTTTTTATCACTTTCAACTTTCCGTAATCTTGACTTGAAATCAATTATCATAGAGGAGTCGTTTTCAGGTTTTTCTTTGGTAGTTGGCTTTTTCAGGTCGATTTTTTTGAGCTGGGAAACATACGTCACGCCATTATTTTCCGAGGATTTCGTTGTAATGGTTCCTTGAGAGTTTTTTCTTACTACATTTTTATCAGAGTCTTTATCCAAATTGAGAGACTGCGACAGTTCAGTCACTAACTGAGCTACAGGATCATGGCTGATGCCACTCACAGCCAAAAGGGGTTCTACAGGAGATTCTTTGAGATTTTTTTCCTTCAGGTTCTGACTCTCTTTTATTTCAGCTACTAGTTTGAGTTCCATTTCTTTCATCACAAGCTTGTTTTTGAACACTTTGGAGGTTTTATTGTCTTCTGATGCTTCTAGGGGTTCTGCATCTGTAATAAATTTTTCCATATTCAGTTTTGATATATCAAGAGACACCAGCTGTAAAAGGGACAAATTTTGAAACTATTCACACTGATTTAAAATCTGAAACGTTCATTGCAAATTTTTTGCTATTGCCTTCAGCGAAAGCCCCAAACACTCACCCCATTAAAAATCCTGGTTAACTGACAACAGAAATAAATTTTCATCAGCAAAATTGAGAAAAATTGCCAGAAAACAGATTTAAGAGACTCGTGTAAATGACAATAAAAGAGAGACTTAATAATTTTCAGGACAGGACCCATAAAGATTCCCATAATCGTTGACTAAACACCCACCCACAAAATTATCGGAATAACTAGTTATATCAAGCGTGAAAGAGGTGGATAAGGAATATTTGAAAGTTTCTAAGAAAATCTTGAATGAGTTGTCCAATTCATTCTAACAATTTTTTTTTGCTCCAAGTTTATTCAATGCCTTTGATAGAGCATTAAAGGGCACTGATTGGGGATTTGTAAACTGGTTCTTGAGAAGCAGTTTATCTGCTAGAGATACACTTTTACATAGCTACATATTGTTCAAAAATTAAGGTAGGTAAATTAAATTTTTTTCAAATATTTACTTACTCATCCACTTCTATTTTAAACTTTTCAGACTCTTGAAAATACACCTGACTCGAGATCTGGTATTTGGCCATCTTTTCTTGTGAAGGGATTTGTATGATATTTATTTTAAAATAATTTGAAAAATTATTATTATTTGTTAATATTGTATTGCTAGTTGCAATTCATTTTTTATAGGTTCAAATTGAATTTTAAATGTTAAACCATCTCTTAGATTTACTACAAGTGTTTTATACATATACGCGGTCAAATATGCTATCAATCTATCTATCTGAGTAAACAAAAGTCATACTTTAACAGTAAGAAAAATTTCCATCACTCCCTTAAAAGACTTATCAATCAATCAATTGTCATAAAGAACAAGGAATTCTTGTGGACAAAGTACTTATATAAATAAAACACTAAATGCTAGAAGGTACAATTTGTCAGTCAACATAGGTATAGTATGAAAATCCTTAACAATAAGAGAAAAAATAAGTAAATAAAATAAAAAAATAATTAGATTAAAAGCTATCCGCATAAAATTCTTCCAAAGTATAATACGGGCGACTACACAGAAAGAAGTAAACAGCCTTTTTGAAATTATCGAATGTGTTAATTTCTCTTAAAAAATCAGGTAAGTGACTGAACATCTTTATAAACCATTATAAATAATAGAGTCCTTCACTAAAGTAGAGTTCGGCTTGGGTAAGTTAATACTGTTTTGCTTGCGTGTAGGATAGCGATTAGGCGTATTGAATTTATTCAGATGTTTTTTGATCATACAAACTGTCTCCGCTATGAATATGGCAACAACAGTATGTAGTTTATGCAGTACAAAAAGTGGTTTGCATGGATCACGCGTCTTTGCTTTCGAAATGTATCTAACTGGTCTTTTTTGCGGATGCTTTTCATGATATTATTATTGCATACTCCCCAAAATGGGGAGCCGTATCTGAGATGGGATTCAATTACTGCATGTAGCAGAGTATCCCAATTCCTGCGAAATCATTTTTACAGCAAATCAGCCAGAGGCCAGTTTTTTATTTAAATTCATTGCATGCTCTACAAATTTCAAGTTATTTTCAATGAATACCCCTAGGAACTTAGTGCTGTTACGGCTCACTATGTAACCTTTATCCAGTTCGATGTTACCAAGATCACATCTGAAGTATGATATATTGGTTTTTGAAACGTTGAGAGCAAGTAGGTTTGAGTCACACCAACTTTTTATTTATTGCATATCGCAGTTTATTTTTCTTTCCAGGTCAATAGTATGTTTGTCATGCCATAGAATAGTGGTGTCATCTGCAAACTTTGTTAATTTACCAGAAATATCTATTCTCATCAAATCATTCATGTATAACATGGGGCCCAGAATAGACCCTTGTGTACACCACAGTCTACTATTACTTTATCAGAAACGGATGAAGTTTTAATTATTTGTGTGCGATTTTTTAGATAGGATTCTATCCAATTGTATACAACTCCTCTGAAGCCATAATGGTATAGTTTAGCCAATAGTATTTGATGATCAACACAATCAAAAGCTTTGCTGAAGTCGCAGAACACGGCGGCTGCAGCCTCCCCGCAGTTGACGTTCATGTATATTTCTTGGAGTCGATTGCCGCTTCCAGCTAACGTCGACGAACTTAATTCTCATGAGTAATGGCTACATTTCTCACTACTTGAATAATATACTATTTTCACGTGTTTAAATTTGAAAATGTCATTTTCGAATAGCCAGAAAAAAGAACCGACTCACCATTTTCACACAAATTTGGCGGCGGTGGCATGGGTTCCGAAGGAGAACCGACCACAGGAACATCGGAATCAATACTCATAGGACTCTTGCCATCATGACTAGGACTAGTAAGACTCAGACTGGTTCGTTGTGGACTTTTCTCCTTCCCTTCCTCCTTTTGTTCCTTGGCGCTATTACAACTATCGGTGCTCGGCTCTCGTTTCTTCAGACTGACTCCGAATCTAGAGCTGGCTTCCTTCACAGAAGGTTGCAAGGTACTGACATCAGTACCTTCTGTGTTTTCGGGTTCCCTTGTAATTTTCTTCGTGGTCAACGGAGAGATGGGTATAATCCTTTTCCTCAGTTCTTGAGATGACGTCATTATAGAAGTACTACAGTCCACTTGGTCTATTCCCGAACCGTCAAACTCCTCAGGGGGAGGTGGTAAATCCGTAGGAGGAGGCGGAAACTCCAAGTCGGCCAAGGTGGGTTGCACAGACCTAAAGTTGGAAAATATTATAAAATTTTGGAAACTCAAATAATTACTACAGAGCGCTTGGTGAAGTTGAAGAAGATACCTGCTTAGAATAGGCAATATTATATTACATAAAAGGTCTGTTCAAGAAATGAAAGAATTTTCATGGAATCGAGTAGTCACTAACACATGAAATGTTGACAGTGGCATACACTGATTGTACTCTTGAGTCAGAAAAATAACAGACCTCGTGTTAACAACATCATATTGGTGAGAATAATTAAAAATTATATTGGACATTCCTAACTTCAATATTCTGGCTCATAGAAGATGATAATCAGATCTTACACTAATTCAAAGAATATTACTGGAGTTTTTTCCCAACACCAAATCGTTATTTTTAACACCTCGGCACGTGTTTCGATCACCAAGTGATCATCTTCAAAGAGGAAGATTAAGTGTAATTAATTGTCTTATTTTAGTACGGTAAATTTAGACCTGAAAACAGTAATGAAATTATGAAAATTGCGACAGAGCTAAATTTTGGTGAATACCTTTATTTTACCATAAAAAATAAAAATGTGAAAGTCCCAATTTGTCCCATGAGCGCTTCAAAAGTTATTCAGGGTCAAAGGTCAAAATTTCAGGTTTTTTGAGTTTTTCTCGAAAACCGTAAGTTTTATCAACGTTTTATCAAAGTTGTAGATCTCAAAATTCTCTACAAAAATGGTCCTTATGATTTTTTCTGTATCACCGTTCCTGAGATATCGCAATTGTAAAAGTCACGTTCTATGTAATATGCACACAACTATCTTGTCTTTTTTGGTAAAGAAAGTTTTTGGCTTTCTACTACTCTTGTCTTCTTTCAACATCGGCATCTACTATTCAACACTTGTATCAGGTATATTATCAAGTTCAGACATGGCAAGGAAATCAATTCAACCCTGAAGACAGGGGTTGGAAATTTATAAATAATACTCTGGATCCAATTAAAACGCTGCTCCCCCCTGCTCCTGAAAAACTCCTTAACACAATGTTTTGCAATTGCAAGAAAGGTTGAAGTGCCAAATGCGACTGTAGAAAAGTAGGGTTACAGTGTTCACCTGCGTGTACGAATTGCCAAGGTCACTCTTGTTTAAATAATGAGTTGAGTACAACAGAGGATGATTCACGTAATGCTGATGAGACAACTGATACATTCATTATTTGAACAGTTTATGAACATCCGGCAAGAAGAGGAAGATGAAAAAGACGAAGAAGAAATCGCAGAAGATATGATTGTTGAAGTAAACTATGACGAGTATGAATCAGATTAAAGTATCAAAAATAAGTCAAACTGACAATTACACTCCATAAACATATTCAACCCGAATAATCTTCATGCTGTTAAATAACGTGACTTTTACAGTTGCGATATCTCAGGAATGGTGAAACTTACAGAAAAAATCAAAAGGACCATTTTTGTAGAGAATTTTGAGAACTACAACTTTGGTCTGAGGTATTTTTTTGATGAAGCTTACGGTTTTGACCTTTGACCCAGAATAACTTTTGAAGCCCTCATTTTTTACGGTAAAATAAAGGTCTTCACCAAAATTTAGCTCTGCCGCAATTTTCGTGAATTCAATATTCTATAATGACCGGACTATTTTATGGATGTACCTTTTACTACATGGGAGATGAAAATTTCTATGACTTTCACCACTTTCATTTGTAACTAAAATTACTGCAGTTTCCTCATATAAGGACATTAATATATATAAGATTTGAAATGTCCTTATAAGTCAAAACTTCAGTAACTTTAGTTACAAATGAAAGTTGAAAAAACCAGAAATTTTCATTTCTCATTTTTTATAATTGGCTTATCTTTGCCATTTAAAAACATATTTTTCCTCACATCTAGCTGATAATCATAAGTTATTGTTACAGTACAAACGTCCGAATTTGTTAAATATTTTGTAAAAATAGGCCCTGCCATAAATCAATTAATAATTATATCCTACCTCGAAGGGCTGCCTCCGCGAAATGAGTTATTCTGAGAAACTTTGAAACTTCTCAAACTACTCCTTACATCGGCGCTGTTATTCCTAGCCAAATTCCTGTTCCTAGAGAGTTTATTCGAAGTGGGAGAGCTGGGAGGATGAGTGGCATGGAAAGTCGTTACACCACTGGAAGAATTACTTCGAATCATCTGTGGCTGCGTTCGGATATTAGTTCGAGGAGAAAGAGATCTTGGCGTGATATCGGAATGCTCCAGTGCCGGATTTACAGCTTGTACAACGATTTCTTCGTTTGTCGTATTACTGTTTTGTCGAAGCGACTCTAAGTAAGCTCCTATTCTTGCACCCTTCGGTAAAGTGCCGTATCGACTGATGGCTTTTCGAACATTTTGAACTTCTAATGCAGCTACCTGGACCTGAAAAAAATTACGATTTAGATTATGCGTGAACTAAATCGGTTTATTCGTATGTTCTGTACATTTTGTTAAACTGGAAAGCTTAGCAAAAGGCGTGAGTTGTTATCGGGCAAAAATTTGATCATACTCTTCTCTTTTCAGATATTGAAATGCTTAAAACACACACACTCACAAAAAAATCTACTTACCGTTGGCGATTCTTTTGTTTTGGTCTTTTTCCCCCTCTGTTCCAATCCTCTATTACCCATTATAGGTGCCCTCTTGAAGGACCCCATACTCGGAACGAAACTACTGACTGTGGACACCTCCGGGTAGGAGTGGGCCCCCGAGTCATCAGTATCAGGCGTTTGGTCTTGGAGATCACTTTCGCTATCACATTTTGTACTTGCAGTGAGGTTCTGCAGTTCCCTTGTCAGTCCTTAAACACAATGATTGAACGATGAAATTACATTACACCTTTCTAAATAAAGAGATATTGTCAACAAAACGTAATTTACATTTTTCTGTTTCAATTATTACATGCTTGAGGAGATTAACTGATTTGATTCTATTTCATAATGGTTGATTATTTTGCCAAAAAGATAACAATACATTCATATTCTCCAACTGTTAGTTTTACAAGCCTCTCCAGATTTTTTATGTTCTACAAATTTCACAAAATTGTAAACAAGGACGGTAACATCTTATTTCAATTCATAATTATTGACATGCAAAGGCATCATTAATTTTTCTTAATATATAATTCTTATACAGTGTGTCAATTTTGGTCGAAACACGTATAGAGGTGTAAAAAATAACGATTTGGTGTTGGGAAAAAACTCCAGTAATATTCATTACTACACCAAAGGTTCCAAACAGTGCATCATAAGTACTAATTCAAAGTACTATTTCATCATACCAACTATGGCCAGAATGAGTCTATAGATAGAATTTCGAGACTTGCAAACACTTACAATGTGGGTTTAGAACTTTTTGATTTTTCTTTGAAGTCATTTAAAAAGACTGTGACAGGAGTGTAATTAATTGTCTTATTTTAGTACGGTAAATTTAGACCTGAAAACAGTAATGAAATTATGAAAATTGCGACAGAGCTAAATTTTGGTGAATACCCTTCGTGGTATTAGCCAGGGGAGTAGTTGTTTTCTGATAGGTGTCAGTCCATTAACCTACTGTGTAGGGTGTTGAGACTGGCCTGAACGAATTGTTCCTTTAGATGATTTGATTTTTAGCCAGTCTTCAAGTATGCCCACTGACTATACGTGAAAGAATTCGCGTTGAACCGAAAATATTAAAAAATATTTGTTTCAGTGAGAAGGTCACACTCAATATCCTGAAAAACTGAATATTTGGTCAGGAATATTAAGCGATGGCGATGCTATAATTGGTCCCTTGTTCATACCAGTCAATTTAAGAGGCGACATTCATCTCGATATGCTGGAAAACACCATCGAACCTTCAATTGTGCATGAATTAGATAACCAAAGGGACGACCAAGACAACCTAGCTGTAGACGAAGATTTGCTGCACTTTCAACAAGATGGAGCACCTCCTCACTATGCAGCTCCAGTTAGGCACTGGTTGGATACTAATTATCAGAACAAATGGATTGGAAGAAGAGGTCCTGTAAGTGGCCACCGAGGTCACCAGACTTGGCGCCACCTGACTTTTTTCTGTGGGGTCACCTCAAGTCAATTGTTTATAAAACTCAACCTGCGTTACTTGGGGAATTGCGAGAAAGAATTACGCAAGCAGATCAAGCCATTACCAGAACAACATTTACCAAAGTTTGTGCAGAATTTGAAAATAGGCTGTATTAATGTTTACAAACAGTTTCAAGCATTTTTCGATATCAGCTTTCGTTCGTGAGATATAGCTCATTGTCAGTTTTAAAATTGACACACTGTGTATGCAACGAATAAATCACGATTGCATCTCAGTGAATAGTATTAATCTAAGAGCTGACTATAGAGAATAGTTCTTGGGAAGGAAAGGTTTTGGCCTTTTACGTCTCTACAAAGCCAAAAACTGTCTTTCCCAAAGAGAATCTCTCTTTTTATTCAATTATTGAACGGGCTTGTCGGTAAATAAATAAATAGATAAATAAAAAGAGAGATTAATTTTTGGGAAAGAAAGTTTTTGACTTTGTAGAGAAGTGGAAGGCCAAAACCTTTCTTTCCCAGAAACTATTCTCTCCTAAAAATATGCCCCTGTCAATTCAAACAAGATTCCTATGGCTGGGATCAAATCAAATAAGCTATCATCGATGACATGAGTAGATTTAACTCATGAATAATTTCATTAATGAATTGAGTGCTTCATCGTGTAATGTTTTCCTTCTTCAGAAACACATCCTGTATTGTAAATTGTGAATCTGTAAATGAATAAGTACTGAATCTTGGGATAGTGAAACAAGCGTCGGGAGACAGAATTTTGTTCTGGTGTGGTAAAATAGTTTTTAATACATATAGAATAATGATGCACCTTCATTCCAGCACTGAACACATATATCCAAGTTTTGAAAATAGAAACCACAAATGAAATTGTTCACAAGCCCCCTAAAATAATTCAAATCCCCAAAAAATAATATTGAAGTTGGATACATCTATGGAGAATTGATTAGTAGAAGAAAATGTGAGTAACGTGTTTATATGCAGCACCTGTTGCAACCCCTGTTAAATTATAGAGTTAGTATTTCCAACCATGCTTCCACTTGAGAAATAGTCTCATGCCTGTATCTATTTGGAAAGGTACCTTTAAATATTTTTTTAATACCGTTTAAATCAGTCCCGTCTTCGGCAACGTTTTCTCCTTGGCCTTGGTCGTCGAAGGTACTATCTCGGAAAGAGCTGCAAGAAGACAGCAAGCTGCAACCAGAAGTCAATGAATTGTTAACACACAAAAGTTAATTTGTTAGTGGATCATAAAGAGAAGCTGAGGCTCTAATATAATTCTTAAAAATAATTCGTATTGTCAACAATTATTATCAATCAAACAGCTCTAGAGAACTATAATTTTATTATAAATCTACACTTGGGACAACGAAAGAATACACATGGGTTGCGTTGTAATAATAATAATAATTTTATTACCCTTTTTCGGTACTTAATGTACGTATGGTAAGTCAGTAATTGTAATATATGTTATATACATATAAAGAATGAAAACAATAGTCATTCTTGAATGAAAAATTAAATAATGAATATAAAATATAATTATGAAAACATAAATCACGACACCTAATATACAAATGTTACAATTTAAAAACACGTACATATATTATTACATTGAGAATTATTCTCAGGAATTATCACTTCAATAGTCTTGTAAACTATGAAAACACTTTTTTATTAGGAATATTTTATAAGATTCTGACTTTGATTGTTTGGATCAGTAGTCACATCCTCTCGTTTTCAAAATCACTCATTATAAATGAGTGATTTTTTTGCTGGTATCTTTTAGGCAACACTGTTTTTGACAGATCACGCGTGAATCGTGTCTTTTGTCATTGTCAAACTTGTTCAGTTTGGTCTATAATTTAACCATGAATCGACTTACGAATGAACAACGCTTGCATTATTGAATTTTATTATCAAAATTCATGCTCGGTGAAGAAAGTGCATCGTGCACTTCTTCCAATTTATGGGCAGTTTAGTCGGCCTGAGGGAGCTATTCGGAAGCTTGTGACTAAATTTCGAAACCAGTTTACATTATTAGACATTAAACCACAAACACGCATACGTAGAGTGAGGACAGAAGAAAATATTGCGGCTGTATTCGCCAGTGTTCGTGATGACCGTGAAATGTCGATTCGCCGCTGTTCGCAGTAATTGGGCCTTTGTTACTCCACTACGTGGAAAATTTTGCGAAAGGATTTGTGTGTAAAACCTTATAAGATACAGCTGGTGCAAAAATTGAAGCCACACGACCTCCCACAACGTCTAACATTTGGTGAATGGGCGCTGGCAAAGGTGGAGGAAGATCCACATTTTTATCAAAAAATTGTGTTCAGCGACGAGGCTCATTCCTGGTTGAATGGATACGTTAACAAGCAAAATTGCCGCATCTGGAGTGAAGTCCAGCCACAAGCATTGCAAGAGCTACCGATGCATCCCGAAAAAGTCACTGTTTGGTGTGGATTATGGGTCAGTGGCTTCATCGGGCCGTACTTCTTCGTATGTGTGATGATTGACGACTTTTTGTTGCCCATAATGGAAGAATTGGACATGCCTGACATGTGGTTTCAACAAGACGGTGCCACACAGCACGCGAAACAATGGCCCAATTAAGAGCCGCCTTCGGTGAACAGTTTATCTCACCCGTCAATTGGCCGCCTAGATCGTGTGATTTAACGCCTTTGGATTATTTCTTGTGGGGTCATGTTAAGGCTCATGTATACAGAGATAAATCAGCAACGACTGACGCTCTGGAAGCCAATATTGAAGAATTTATACGTGGAATACCGGTCGATATGTTAGAGAGAGTGTGCCAAAATTGGACTTCGCGCATGGGCCACCTAAAGCGGAGCATTTGCATGAAATCATCTTCAAACATTAAATTATATTTATCATTCTATCGATTTCAATAAAGATTTCATCAATTTTTTCAAATTTTTTTGTGTTGTTTTGAAAATCAAATCATATACCACTTAAAGAATCACCCGTTATCAGATGATAGGAATCACACGTTAAAAGGTAAGACCTCGTTAGTCCTTAGCTCGCACAAGTTTCTCAACTTTTGAGAGTTGTCGTTCGTATGGAGGCGACAGCTGATTAACGGAAAAACAGATTTTAAAACAGATGATACATGTGTATTCTTTCATCGTCTTGAATGTAGATACAATTTCAATGCTTTTTCACTTTACAAGAATTATATTCCAAAAATTAATAAAAATTATTTAGGTGAAATAGTGTCAGATGATTAATCAAAAGATATTGTGTAAAATGTGTTTTTTAATAATAATTTAATACATTTCAATGTTATTCTAAAAATAATTTACATACCTTGTACGTTTTGGAGGCGCCGGAGCAGGCATTCCTTTTTTATTGGTAGATCTCCTCATCTGAACCATACTCGTTTTAGCCCCTCCTGTGAATGTCGACAATTTAGTGCAAGTGCTGTTCAGATTGTCTACAAAAAAAATATTTAAATTTCATATCAATTTATTTCACATTTCCAACCTGTAGAGGTCTGTTCTGATAAACCAACTAGGCCGTGAATATTCCCAGTGCTTCCAGAATGTGACTTTTTGAAAGCCATATGTGGAGTGCCCAGAGGAATCGGCGAAGATTCATTCCCTTGTAGCTGTTTCTCTACCTCTGCGAAAAAATTCAGAGGATGTATGACTAAATATGTTTGATCGCCAGCTTTTAGAATCCTCAAAACCATAAAATGCATGCAAATATAGAATGTTATACAATTATTAAAGATTTGTTATTTCAAATTATCTTGCAAGAGACTTACAACAAATTAAACATTTCCAATGGAAAATCGAAGGGATTGATAAAAATAAAATTGCAGAACTTTTTTTAATACGATTTTTATGTTAAGAATATTAAAGCCCCCAAACTAAAGTTGAAGAATAAAAAGACATCTGGTCCATCTTACTCAGTAAAAGACTGTATTACATTTTAAATTCTACCATTTTATCAAAATGAAATTGTCTTTCGTCAGATATTTCTCATCAATAACTTGCTTGAACTTCGTCTATTGCAGAATATATCAAAGATTCTTTGGTATTTTTTTCAATCTATGCAAATCAAATTATTAAGCATAAAGTTGATTCAATACAGGTATAAAATAAGGTGTAAATTTTGTGTTTAGGAAAATATACATATAATAAATAGTTTAAAAAACTAAAAAACACGCTTTTAAAGAACATCGAACTAAAAAGTTGAAAATATTTTTTTTTCGTATGCTATAAAAGCGTGTTTTTTTTAAACTATATTTATTTTATCTAAACTTTGGGATCAATNTTACGTACAGCGCCATCTGCCCGCGAATAGATCAAGCAATAATGTGGATATATCAAGGTTACGTACAGCGCCATCTGCCCGCGAATAGATCAAGCAATAATGTGGATATATCAAAAAGATTACGTACGGCGCCATCTGCCCGCGATTAGATCAAGCAATAATGTCCATATATCAAGGTTACGTACATCGTCATCTGCCTGCGAATAAATCAAGCAATAATGTCGATATATCAAGGATATTATGTACAGCGCCATCTGCCTGCGAATAGATCAAGCAATGATGTCCATATATCAAGGTTACGTACATCGCCATCTGCCCGCGAATAAATCAAGCAATAATGTGGATATATCAAGGAGGTTACGTACAGCGCCATCTGCCCGCGAATAGATCAAGCAATAATGTCGATAATTCTGTCAAATATAGATCCCGAGCTGGAGAGTTACAAACATACATACATTTAGGTGAAGCTAATGAAAGCGTGTTGAATAATAATAAAATAATCAATCAATTATTTAAAAAGGAAGTTGTCAAACACATCATTAACATAATCTTTGAGATGATATTCTCATTAACAAAAAGCAGATTGAAAAATTGAGTTAAGTTTTGGAAACAAGAAAAATATTCTTTGATCACTTCACTTTGAATAACACCCTTACCTTCTGTAATGCTAGATTCTTGAAACATATTTTCCAGAGCGTGGTGTATCTCCTTGAAAGTGGGCCTTTCATGTGAATGCCACTGCCAACACTGCCTCATCAGATCATAAATTTTTGGTGGACACCCAGGAGGGCACTCCATCCTGTAACCCTTTTCTAGCATGTGGTACACGTCAGTCAAATCGACTCCGGGATAAGGAGACATTCCGTAGGTCGCAATCTCCCACAGCAAAATTCCGAAAGCCCAAACATCAGACTTCGTAGAAAATTTGTTATACGCTAAACCTTCGGGTGCGGTCCACTTGATAGGAAATTTTGCACCAGCGTGAGCCGTGTAAGTGTCGTCCCGCATCAGCCTAGCGAGCCCAAAATCGGCCACTTTCACCAAGTGGTTCTCCCCTACTAAACAATTCCTTGCGGCTAAGTCACGATGAATGAAACACCTACTCTCTAAGTAGTTCATACCGCTAGCTATCTGCGTAGCGATATACATAAGTACCACGGCGTTTATCTGTTCCTTGTTCCCGTTTCTGAGATAATCTAACAGATTACCCTTGCTCATGAATTCGGTTATGATATAAAAGGGGGGTTCCCTCGTACAGACGCCCATCAACTGTACGAGATTCGGGTGTTTCATTTCTTTCATGATGGCAGCTTCTTCCAGAAAGTCTTTGAGAGCCATCGTATCTTCTTTCAGGGTTTTCACAGCAACTGTCATATTATACCTGAAAATTAAAAATTATATGACATGCTTTGAACGTATGTAGATTTCATGCTGGTCAAAAGTTTTTAGAAATGGTTACTTGAAGTATTCCTATTTATATGGTGAAACGAAAGTGATTTTTCAAATTACCAACCCATATCTTTTATTTTATCACATCTAGCTATTTCCGCAATTTCCGAACAAGATATCTGTAAAGCAGTTAGATCTCTGAAACCCAAAACATCAACTGGAGTTGACGGTATTCCATCTTACTTTTACAAACAACTCAAAATGGGATGTATAATTGCTATTCATAAATCTGGCAATCAAAATCTCATAACAAACTATAGGCTAATAACAATACTCCCCTCATTATCAAAAATCTTAAAGAGAGTCTTATATAACAGACTATATGCCCATGTTGAAGATACTATCTTCAGAGAACAGCACGGTCTTGTTAATAAAAAATCGACTGTAACAAATCTCATGGTGTTCAGCAATAACTTAGCACTCTCGATAAATACTGGAAAACAAGTTGATGTAATCTACACAGAGCTAGCGAAAGCATTCGACAAAGTGAAACATGGAGTTCTCATCGCCAAATTAATGAAATTCTCAATGAATCAATCAATGATAACATTAGTGAAGTCATACCTATCAGATAGAGATCAATTTGTTGCTTTCAATAGAAAAAGGTCGACACTATTCAGACCAACCTCTGGCGTTCCTCAGGGATTAATTCTAGGCCCACTTTTATTTATGTTTATTAACAATATAGGTGATTATATAAGACATTCCAAATTCCTGCTCTATGCAGATGATCTCAAACTATACCAAACCATCAACGATGAAAAAGACAGTGAAAACCTTCAGAAAGACTTAGATTCTATCACTATCTTTTGTGAGACGAACAACTTGATGCTGAATAAGGGTAAATGCAAAGTTATGTCTTTTTCACGGAAAAATGTTATTGCTCCAACGGAATATTCAGTAAATGGCACCAAACTGGAAAAACTTGCTCAAATCAAAGATCTAGGAGTCATATTTAATAGTAACTTCAATTTCAGAAATCACATAGAATATATTGTACGTGATGCAAACAGAAAGCTTGGTTTTGTGTTTTGCGCCAGGGATTTCAAATGGGAACTAGGAATTCTTCTACACAATGCCTTTGTCAGATCAAAGCTCGAATAGGCTTCAACAATCTGGAATCCGCAAAAAGCATTTCATTCAGAGATGATAGAAAAAATACAGAAGAAATTTCTTAGGTACACCTACTTCAAAAAAAATAAAGAGTCTCCCTCTATGATCTCCTATAGGACTCAACTAGAACATTTTGACATGCCAACCCTGTCAGATCGTCGAGGCTTGAATGATGTACTATTTATATTCAACATATTCAATCAGATAATAAATGTACCTGAACTCCTCAGTGTGATCAATCTTCATGTTCCTAGTGCTAGTCTAAGAAATCGCAATAGGGTTTTCTATGTAGACACACGATCAGAGTCTCCACTCAATCGCTGCCTTAGGCAAGTGAATGATCTAGTCGTAAGTCACCAAAGTCTTGATTTTTTTGCTGTGATGAATTAGAAATAAGACAGTCGTTTAAAAAAAAAAAGTGCCATATATACCTGTTATTACTAACGTTTCTCTTGTACGTAATTCTAGGTGTTTATTTACTCTGTGTGTTTTAAAAACCATATATTTTATGTACCATGACATTGACTGTATACATGTAATCGGGTGTAAACCTGTTTGGAATGCAGTTTAAATAAAATCTATCTATCTATCTAAAATAATAGTACGGTTGGTTTCTCTCATGCGGTTTCCTGATGACTTGAAACGTATTGGAAAGGACAAAAACCTCGCAAAGTGGGTGTCCCACGATTTGAACTATCGTCAGAAAATGTCACGTTTTGCGAAATTGAAAAATCCTTTTTTGGATCGGATCGTCACGTGTGAAATCAGAAGACGTTCAGCGCCAGGTGTGATTCACTATAACTTTTTGCAGCCGGGCCAAACCATCACAGTAGAGTACTATTGTGAGGCACTGGTCAACAGAAAAGGTCTGATCCTGCTCCATGACAATGCCCGTCCGCTCATTTCACAAATCACCGCCCGAAAATTAAACGAATTAGGCTTCAAAGTCATGCTTCACCCACCATACTCCCCAGACCTCTCGCCAACAGACTACCATCTCTCACTGGTAGAACCTTCACCAATTAGGACCTGGCAGAAAAGGCCCTCGTCAACTTCAAACTTTTGAAACAACCTAATAACTATGCCATGAAATATTGTAAAGAAATTCATTAGTTTTGTTCTCAAAAGCCTGTGTATGAATTAGTTTCAATCACATCCGCCAAATCCTATACAGTAGGTGAGGACAATGTTCTTGTCACAGGTAAAGAATAAGTGGTGTGCCACAAGGCTCTGTGCTTGGACCAACTCTTTTCCTGTTTTACAATAAAGACTTGTAACGCCTGCACACATTTTGGTAAATTTACGCTTTTACCACTATTTTATGGCATGGCATTCTTTGAACTGAATATAGATAATTGTTTTGAATTCAACAACAATATAGACCAGCTATGTAGAACAACATCTTCTAAATGCTGTCCTGTGAGGAAGTTTATCAACGAGGTGGGGTATAAGCCTACTAAACCTGCTTATTATTCCCCTTTTGAGTCCCTCCTATGTTACGGAATTGCATTTTCAGGAGTACTTGTATGTTCTAAGCAGCTCATGCAAGCTAGTTTAGTTATGTGAAAAAAAGCTGAGATAAACAGGCAGTTAACAGATTTACAGAATCCTTAAAAATCATTTCAAGTCTTTGGGAGAATGGTTTGGATCACTTAAGAGTAAAGGTGGTAAGTGTCTGCAAAATGAAGTGAATCCAACTAGAAACATTCTTGCAAGAAACATATCTAGTCAAAGTTGGGTTCCAACCCAGAACCTTTGGCATACTACCACTTTCACCGCTACATTATGATTATTATTATCAATAAAACAATAAATACCTCTTCCACATGGCCTCATAAACATCCCCGTACTGTCCACCACCTAACTTATGTTTCATCACAATATCAGTTCTGTTTATCTCCCATTCGTCCGGTTCCGGGCTAAGAGGAAACACCGTCGGTTTGTTGTGCTTGGGGGCGGGGTACAAAAGTTGGGTAATGAGACCATCCGATGCCATCGAGTGGTGATGTACCAGTTCAGCAAGAGTATTGAATTTACTTTCCGTAGTAACAAACACTTTCCCTTCGGTGTCTTCGTTTATCCTGTAATGGTAGACGCGACCTTCGTACCTCAGAGATATGCTTCGCTGACCAGGACTGCTCTCCGACTCCCTGACCAAGAAGCTACCGTTGATTCCTTGCAAAAAGTCGATGATAAGTACAAAATTGTCGAAAAATTATACTTCAGTTCAACAAATTGAACAATATTTTGTATTAATGATTTAAATATTATACTTATTTATTTTAATCATTATTTATTTCATTATTATTCATTTTGATAATCCAGCAAATTAGGACTTTTTTTATAAAATATTACAAATAATCACTACCTAAAATAAATTACATCATTTAAGATACTCCCTGTATAATGAGGTTATCGATTAATTGCACCAATTGAAGATTTTGTATGAGTAAACATTTGACATAATTCATACTTCCAGAAAAAAATATAATGAATTTGTGAAAAATTCACCAATGCAGCAAAACAAAAATTTTATGTGAATTGGTTCTCGATGGAATTAATAATGGACATATAATTTATTGTTGAACCCATTTATTGACTTATTTCAACTTCAGGTCACAATAATTTGTTCCCATAACAAATTAACGTATGTAGAATTTCTATTTTTCAATCCATTTTTTCAATTCAATCTCATTTTCAAATATTTCAGTCCTATTATTTTTAATCGAAATGAAGTGGTAAACAAACATATTACCTAGCACATACCCTCTTTTATTCGTGCAACTGATGAATGATAGATACATACCCGAACTGAGCAAATATTCAGCCGCATTTCTGGATATCGGCCCGTGATACCACGAATGTTTTTCCAGAGAATTCACTGGTGTCACGTAATTTGATGGCACCCAGCCCACTTGATTTGTTGAGGAGTGTGCTTCGCACCATTCTCCACTTTTATTGTAACTCAATATTCTAACTTGCTCTCCTGAAAATAAAACGTGTAAGAGCTATCGAACGGGAATGTTAATATAAAAAAAATTTCGATCATCAAAAATTTTTCACTAGATAGTGGAGTTTCGAACTTTTTATGATACTACCTTCAATCTCTAAACCTTGAAGTGTGAACGATGAATGTTATTCCAAAAACATGCTTGGGTGAAACAACTGATAAGCGTTCCATTCAAAAAAAAAGATGAGTTTTCATTTTTCTCGAAAAAAATTTGATTTATTCATTAGTTCGCAAAACGCCGTCCTTTCAAGGGTCTCTTCAATCTCGGAAACAGGATAAAGTCGCAGGGGACCAAATCTGGTGAATACGGAGGCTGAGGCATGACTATGGTGTTGTTTGATCCATTTTTTTTTTTGATAGCAGAAAATCTCGAACACGCAAAACACTTCTAACCGGAAGCCTGAATATAATGTGCTGGTAGAAATTTACATTACAGCTACCCGCTCGGTCAATATACATCTGTCTTCTATGACCAGTGAATATTAATTTTAGATCTTAATGAAATGAGTATATCAATATTGTTATAGACAGTCAAACTGCACTTTTGAGACATTGATAAAACCAAGAGCGATATTGACAGTGGTTTGGGAATAATATTTTAAAGGACTAAAGCAACTGGCAACGATAAATTCAATTCAATTTCAATTTTATAAATGGAGTCGATGAACCATCTATGGAGGCATCAAAATCTTTGGTACTGGACCAGGAAATGAATCATTCGAGAACAGTGTTTCCCGAAGTCTTGGAAGAAATGGATAAGTCAGCAGCAAAATCATGCTGTACTACATGATACATATGATAATACACTACATGATAATATGTAAACAGATAATAAACAATACCTCTCTTAAGACTAAGTTGGTTTTCCCCTCCAGCTTGGAAGTCATACAGCGCCACAAACAACTGAGGATCGTCTTCTTCTTGCGCTAAGAGATTTTCTTTGGACGTCCATCGATTTGCGGTCTCGAAAGACAATGGTGTAGATGGAGCTCCAGAAGTCGATGAGCCAGAAAGCGTACCCAAGCCAGAGCTGAGAGTATTGGTGTTGAGTGTTCCTGGTGGGTCGCTTTCGGGCAAGCTGGGGATGTGAGGCAACGGTCTGCTCTGCAATAAGGCCTCTGAAAAAAAAACACAATGGAATGGGTTTGGGATCACACGAAATAACATCTGAGATACATCTCACTCCGGAAGACTAATTTCTGGTTCCAAAACCATTGACCTTCTGACACATGAACTATGTAAATTCCAAAAGGCAGGTAAGTTGAAAGTCTATGAATAAACTAAACAAGATATACAACAAGGTTCGATATCTATGGGGATTGTTCCTTCTTAAAGACTTAAAAAAGAGGAATGAAATAATGCATTCAACATTTAAAGTGATTCGTTTCTATTCCACCATTTGGCAACATCGGTTATAGCTAATAAAGGACGATTAATCTGTTACCTGTATGAGACAAACAAAGATGACATATTTCAGAGGCGCGCTGTTCTGTTTACTTATGTTCCGAGACATTCTGTGACATATGACATTTTGTGCACCTAACCTACCTTCCTTTATATAAATAAATAACAAAACAACCGTTATTTATGTGACTTGTGCAGTTGGTATTGACCTATAATTTATATTTTGCCTTAATTGTTGATTTATTATCTCCTTTTTTAGAGTAGAATATCTAGGTACGTATAAATTATTTCAACTTGATATAGGCGTTGTTGCCAATATGTGAATTAGTAACAAATCCCTTTGAAAATTAAAACCCAACATTTGAAACATCAATTTGAATACTTTGCGAAGTGAATTTAACAAACTCATGAATTAAACTCAACTTTATTTTGTTCAAACTTGCATTTGCTGTAATAACCCAAGTTGAGGAACATTCCCCATTCACCATTACATTACATACCCATAAATATATCTTTAATTCAAAAAGTTGAGTATAGAACAGTGACTTCCGAACTTCGAACTTTAACAATTGATAATGGCCATCTAGTTCAAGTTACATCTGTCAAATTAGTTGTGTTTTGCCAAATCACCGAGGACGTATATAGTATTCTTTTCGGGCAACATACCGCGCGCTTCTCTAATTTTACGGTCGCCATAATCTTCCTACCGAGAGGACTATTCACAATGTGTTGGTTGAATTTGAGTCCGCTGGTTCAGTAAACGATCGACCAACACCCGTACGTCGAATAAACGCAAGATCTGCCGAAAATATCGCCGCAGTATGTGAGAGTGTGCAAGAGAATCCGAGGCAGTCGATTTCGCGTCGCTCACAAAAACTCGGCCTTTCGCAGACCACAACTTGGCGGATTTTGCGGCGTGAGTTGGGCCTGCATCCGTAAAAGATTCAACTGATCCAGGATTAGACATCGACGTGTTCGCTAAATGAGCTCCGGAGCAATTGGCAATTGACCCTAATATTCATCGAAAAATCATCTTCAGCGATGAGGCCCATTTCTGGATGAATGGGTACTTGAACAAACAAAATTGTCGAATTTGGGACGATACCAATACACATGAGATACAAGAACGTCCAATGCATTCCGATAAAGTCACTGTTTTGTGTGGATTTTCGGCTGACGGCGTCTACATACTATATATTTATTTGAGGACGACGTTGACCAGGTCATCATTGTCAACGGCGAGCACTATAGGTCGATGATTACCAACTTCTTTTGCCTGAATTGGATGCTCTGAACACCAACGACATGTGGTTTTCAACAAGATGGCGCTACGTACTACACAGCTCATGGCATGGTCATCCCACGTGGTGGTGAACTGGCCACCGAGATCGTGCGATTTAACTCGGTTAGACTTTTTTTGTGGGGTTTTCTCAAGTTGTAGGTATATGCGGATAAACCACCGCGGTCCTCAAAGTCTACATAACCCTTGTTATCGGTCAAATTGCTGAAGTTATAATAAAAATATTTTAAATATTATGTGCTATGTTATGTACGTGTGCATGGTTTGAATCACTATTCCAAAAATACCCAACATCCCAATTGCTGCCGTGCAAATTTAATCTGATAGTTTTACCGGCACTCGCTCTTTCCTTCTGAACGTGACAGCAAACGTATTGATCGTTAAGCTTCGGACCACCACTTTGGGAAAACAAAGGATTTCAATACGGATAACAGCACGAGGATAAAAATGCGAAAAGGAATCGGGCCGAACTAATGGAAAACAAGAAAAGTCCCTACTGTAAACGACGATCGTGCTAATCTATTGGTGAAGAATGTTCCATGAAAGATAGTTTCGTTTTCCTGAAGGGGGCTCTCCTTGAAACACGCCTATCTATCTCTATTTACTTGGTTAACATTCACTAGGATTATTTCTGGGAATTCTTTTTTGTTTTCCTTCGCTCTCTACACCGATTGTGACACACAACTTACGGCAATTTCAACGACGGCCAACCTTCGTCTTCGAATTGTGTTATTAGTTTGACAGAGGCGGACTGGCCACCCCAACATACTTCAAAGTACGTTCTTCGTAGAGGCGGTTTTCAAGATCACAAAAAAAAGGTAGAACCCTGAATATACAGTCCATTTCAAAATAATTGTTATCAATAGTCAAATAATTCCTTGCGAGCAACCTCGGAACTTTCTTGGAGACTTTCCTTTCAATGAGCGATGAAATAAATAGCTCCAAAAGTAGATTTGATGCACAGCAAACGGATGCACAGAAAACGCTTAAAAACCTAAATTTGATCAGGTACCAATACCTAATAAGCTAACAATAATTTCACGTTTGAATGTTTCAATATAATAATTATGAAACAAGTAATAGTTGAGTAATATATAGATGTGCGTATAATAAATCGTGCAGTTTTCACTTCTTTGTTTTGTTTTAATCTAATGTAATTGAATCAATCCGGAATCGAAACCCTTCCTGACGAAAACCAGATATCAACAGTAGGCGAAAAATCATTTTATAACCTTTACAGAATCAATCTTCGAAAATATTCATCTCTCATCATATATCACCAGCACAAAAGAAAGAATTGGGGTTCCTGTTCCCTACTGGTATATATGGCCTTTGTCGTTCGCGCATCAAGGTTTTAAAATTTTTCGAGTCGGACCTGTGCTAACTTAGACTGATACGAAGTAGTGAACTCTCTTCACGCCTATGCCGGACCTGTCCAAACGGACTTGTTTCGGTCATGCTTACCAGGAGGCAATAATTACATTGTTGGTAAAATGATGGTAATAATTCCAAGACAATTCCTGTTCGAGTAGACTCCGCAAGTGATAACCAATTTATCGCTTCGTTAGATATCTTAAGCTAGAAATCTAGGGCAAAAAAAATTGAAATGTTTATAGAAAAATATTGAAAATTTTGACACGACATGATCGGACAAGTCGGTTTAGGAAATCAGCTCAAATAAAACACGTGGTTTACAAAATTTTGCAGATTAAGCTTTGTTTTTTCTGATTGTGAAGTACAAAACATATAGGAATAATTATAAGAAACTCATCGGAAAAATCAAAAACAAACTATCAAGAAAAACAGACAGGGAATAGAAATTATAGTTGAAATATTTGGTAAGAAGTGAGTGAACAGTTATTTCGGGAGAATCAAAGAATAAAATACTATAAAAAAGCTTTAAAATTAAAATTGATGATAAAGTATTAGCAAGAAAACTGTGATAAAATTATTTCGTTAGTTATCAATGTCCTTGGGATATTATAGCTGAAAACTGTACACAGCTGAAAAATATTCAGTTATCTTCTTCTTCTCTTACTTACTCAAAAGTCTGTGACCAGTTCTCCAAATATTAGGTTATACTATCACTGCGGTACTTGGTGACAGTTGCAACTTGGCTCCCGAGTTTGGGGTAGGAACCTTTCGGCATAAGTGTTGTTATACATTAATTTACTCATACCTCGTTTTCTGTTTGAATTTGTATTCGCAATTTCTGCGCAACAGTTATGCGAAAGCATAGAAGGACTATACCAATTATTTTTTTGATATTACCCTTTGACTTCAAACTCCGAAGGATGCAAATTGTAAATTGCGTAAGGTTGTGTTAGAAGGTTAGGTTGAGTTATGATAAGATAAATAGAATGTCTGAGTTCCTAAATTCTAAGTTGAAAGGTAGAATTCCCAATTTACATCAAAGGGAACCAAGTTTAAACTGCCGAAAAACGTAACATAGCATTGTTACGTGAAACTTTTTCTTATCTGTCTCTGTTGCACAGACCGTTTTAGAGGATAATATAGGCTGGTTGACCTATATATTGTTCTCCTTATCTCTAACCGCAATTCAGTTAGGTCAATATTATGCAACCTTGTCTCAATCAATGCAAATTCCCATATATCATAATATCCAGAGCTACTGTTGTGACAGAAGCGTATCTTCCGAATTCCATTCATCATAATCAATTATTGTCAAGACAGAACAGTATTCCACCAACACGGCGGTAATTTGAGAACACGTATTATTTGCCAAATCGAATAAATTGATAGGATGTACGTTGCAACCAGTGTTGCCAACAAGGCGCAAAATACGCAAAATCTGGATATTTTCAGATTCTTAGCGCATTTGTTACACTTTTTAGTTTCCACGTATTTTACTATGAGTTTATCGGAAACTATTAGATTATACTGATAATCAATGGATTTCCAGATTCTTAAGAGCCTTAAAACCGGTGAAAATTGCAAGTCGGCATCTCTCTATGATCCGCAGATATCCAATCGACTAATTTTTCACATGACCGACAATCAACCAAATAGACGAACGGACAGAACGAAAAAAATAATTTTTCAGAAAATTGAATTTTTCGATTATAATCAATTTCTACAAGGTAACAAAGATCTATCTCGTCATATAGGTACTACATACACTACTACAAAGATCACAGTATTTATCCTTTTCTAAAGATATAGTATAACAAATATAAATTGATCTCACAGACTATTTGCTGTTTCGGATTTACTAGCTATGGTCTTCAGGTTTTTGGGACTGAAGTTCCGTCAGTCCGGTAAATATTGTTAAAGGAAATGCGGCAGATATTGTTAAAAGCGAAAACAACAAATAATTTGTTGACACCGGACGTAAACGTTGATATTTTTTTCTACTTTTGGTACTTTTTTCACTGAACTGCATATCGTAAGACT